ATGGGAGCTTACCCAAGTCACTCAGATGCTCGGGCTCGTCGACGACGCGTTGGCTGGCGTGCAGCATCGCCAATATGCTTTCGCTAAATAGGTAAATCGTGGGAGGATTACAAGACGACCTTACCGATAGAGCGGATTGATAGTGATGATGTCGCGGATGGTCTTCACGATTTCAGCGCTAAGAGCCTACAGTAGAGGAAACAAACGAGCATTCAGTGGCACCCAAGTTTTTCCTTTGATGTAAAACTACTCAAAGCGAGACAGTCAGTCTACACCGAGCCAGAACTTTAGGCAACCAATCACGACACGCCAAAAGCACGCACGCACACACATAAATCCTCACCTTGATCTCGGGCGTGTTTTCGAAGGGCTCGGTGTAGACATTGACCGTCTCCACCATCAGCACACCGGATGCGGGACTTTCCTCCATGTTCAAAGACGTTGACGGTTCAGGAGTGGTTTCGGAGGCAGGGGTATCAGAGGAGGTTTCTTCCGTACTCTCATCGATTTTGGGGGCTTCTGTGGCATCGTCCGCTGGCAAACCTGCCATCTGCGCAGCCTTTCGTACGCGTCGAAGGAGGCCGTTTCGCTTATTCCCTAAAGAATGGGATGCAAACCAACGATACTAATTAAAAAAGCCGAATGCGATAACAAAATTCGCATAAATTACACACAACTTACTTGATTTCTCATCGGGAGATAGGGCTTCGGTATTGGCATCGTTGAAGGCGTCTTGGACTTGTTTTACCAGCTGAATTCTAGGTGAGTACGGTGTGTTTGAGTGCAGAAACAGAAAAAAATATTAATAAGCTCACTTACACAGCAAAAAGGGCTCACTGCTTACCCAAATTATCAGTTAAGGGAGCTGTGCGAATCGAGAATGTTGATTAAACAAAACACTGCATATGAAAGGCAAGCGAACACAACAGTAAAATTGCCTTGTGAATCTTGCGGCAATTTAGAGCATTTCTTTAAACCTACCTGCGGTGGCCAATGGCCAACATCCGTATTTTGTGGCCCAGGTCATCGAATTCGGGAATTTGTACAAAAGTGCCAACGTGATAGAGATCATCGATACTCTTTACGACATCAGACGTGCTAAAAGCGCAAAGAGCGATTAGAAACTAGAAATGAGGTCCAAGACAGCGGCTACAACGTCAAACTTACTCAGTCGGATTCTTCTTCAGAAAGACCCCAGCAAATGGCAAGCCGAGCTTTACTTTACGCCGAAGTAATTCCATGAGATTTTGATCTGTAATCTACGATAAAGTCAACTATTGCGTGAGATTTGATATTTTCCAAAACCAATGACTGATGGCGACTTACCTCGATCACTTTCACAAATTTTGGAAAGAGGGGGTATCCGGTCACTGCAATTACTGGAACACATGGATAATTTTCAGGAATGTTCTGAGTAGACAACGCATATGGGTGCTGAGGTACACCATCGTTGGAGGCAGGATGATCACCCGATCCCGGAGGAATGTCCTTGGGTGCGGAGGAGTACCCACGTTGAAACACAGAGGTCGACTTAAGTAAAAAAAACATTTAGTAGAGGTTTTAGCAAAAATTAGTGGGTTAATTTCAACTGAAACGTAAGTGCAATTTACGGGAAAGAGCAAGCTTGATGGGATCCTGTTTACTAAATATTTGCTTGTCAGAGCAGTTTTGTTGAATGCTAAGTCACAGGCACGATATAAAAACCTTGCATTTCGCAAGGGTCGAACTAAATTCGAGAGCATTCTCAAAAAAACACGAGAACAGTGCAATAGCGGGCTTTTAAAGCAATAGGCTGTCCAATAAATAAAGCTCAAGCTAGGTCAAATTCTATTTTGCGCGTTCATCAGTTGAACAGAATTCTTCGTGAGCACTAATATGCACTTGAGTCCTTTAACTTAAAGCAGTAAAAGTTTTACCGTCTAATCATTTGCGCGGTGATAGGATAATTTCCTTATGGCATGTATCAGTTCAAGGTCTCTCGCCTACCAGTATGTAGCCTTAATAAAAAACATTCATAAATTTAATAAGCATGGTGTTTATATCAACGTTTTTTTAAGCATGTTTATACTAGCAGTTCTAGTTGATATAATCTTTTCGCTATATATGATTTAGTTTTGAGTTCCTCACATCTAGATGCAAATGAATTTGGACTTGGAATATGTGTCAAGTTTTATGACGAATCTTTACACAGTGAAACAAAGACTACAAATAAATTACCCAATCCCGCTATTTTGCACAATCTATGTTCGTGAGGTAATTTATATGTCCCTAAAAAATATTAGAGCTAATTGTGTTTCCCTGATATACTCATTCTCAGAATCCACGTCCTGATAATTTTATGCTTGGCTTCTTTGCGATTGCAAATTTCGGCTAATAGATTAAAAAGACCATTGATATTTTAGCTAGATTAATTATGTATAAAAGACACGGCTCTTCTTACGGCTTTGACTTTTTTATTTTAGGATCACAAAATTCGATTAGGTGCAATGTCACTTTAAAATATATAAGCACTACACAAATAAGAGATTAATTTTTTCATTACTTTTTGCATGTTTTCATATTTTGCGACCTATGAAGATGTTCAGTTAGTTGCCGTATTTCAAATCCTGATTTAGCAGAAACTGTTGCTATTTCGTCGATATCTGCAGCCCTTTTACCTATACTTTTGTAGAGCAAATCTTAAAAAAAAGGTGGGGAACATTAATATAGCGTTGGGCATTTGACTGACGAAGAAAAATACTTCTGATTTAAGTTCACTACAAGTTTACCGCACAAGTTGGATTGGTGTTTCTGCGTCTTGTGCACGCTTCACAGGTATTTTTTGGAAATTTTGTTGGCACCATTACAAGTTAACATATGTTGACACCTTTGTTACTAAAACATGTGTCTGTTTGTGTGTACGTGTATTTATACATCCTGCTCTTGCTAAATTTTAGATTTTAAATAGTTTTTCCTTTCGTAAATTCTGTCATTAAATCACGCACATTTTAGTCTTATTTAACTGTGATTGTGAATGTTTATCCTTTAATTCTTTTTGGGCTGATATATTATTTAGATTTTGCCATTCAACTTAATGCACACTCTTTTCCTTTATTGCAAACTGCGATTCTGCTGTGCAGATGATGGTCGCTTTATCCAGTGTCACTTTAACCACGTTCTTTGCTTGGCAAATAAACAAGTATAAAACTTTCATTAGCCATGCTAGTTTTCTTTTTTGGCAATTTCAAATGTTGAAAATCGTTATTTCTAAGCAGTTTTCCGTCTCCACGCTTCTTTTTTCTGTTCGATGAATTAATCTAATGTTTTTTTTGACCTAATTTTTCTCCTAATTCCTAATAGTGAAGCAACTATCTGTTTTTCAGGCAACGATTTAGATTATATTCCAATTTACGAGGTTCGGAGCATTTGCACACACCTATGTGCTTAGTTCTCGGCTATTTACCCCCCTTTATCAATTCGTATCTCTTTCAATAATCCGGAAACCCCTAAGTCCCTAAATAAATACAATAAATAAATTGGACACAAAATTTGTTTTTTTTTGTATTTTTGTAGGTCTATTATGGGTAGATCTAAGGCCCGCAGAAATAGACAGAAACGAGCCAAGAAAGATTTGGCGGTTAAAACGGTGCCCATTTCGACAACAGAGACGGAAACGCCAAGGGCTCTCATTGCGCGGGTGTGTTTGCATTAAAATGCCAATAATGAATACGTTTTTGTGTTTCGTTTGGCTAAATTTACTTCTTTCAGGCTGTGGAGAAAGCCAACGAATTCGACTCTAAGCAGGCCCTCAAATTTTACAGGTCTGCCTTGTCGAAACTCGAGAAATTGCATCCCACTGACGAAATCGAAGCAGCAGAGAATCTTAATTTGGCTTTAGAGGCACTTCAGGCGTCAGCGCTTATTCTATTGGAGCAGGGGCGTGTCGATGAGGCCAAAGAGGTAATGCCGAATTACGCCTAACTTCTAGAACCTTCTAAAAGCCGTTTCCCTAGCCCCAGATTCTGGACACGAAAAGTACATGTACTTGGCACAGCTGTCGAGCGAGCATGAGGCACTAGACTTCTACCAACGCGGGATTTCTCTTGTCAACCAAGCAATTCAGGTATCCGATCATTGCTCTTGTAGACTTACCACCAATTTCCTTTAGTCCGCTCCAGATGTCAGTGATGATACGAAGTCTGTGCTGACGAAGGGTCACCTACAACGAGCCCTGTCGAATGCCTACTGTGCAATTGCTGAGTTATACATGACAGATTTGTGGTAAGGCATGTGTTGATCATTTGAACCAACTCGATTCTCCGCATTTCTCGTCAAATTTTTACTCCTTATCTCTCACAGTGACGAACCAGAGGCCGAGTCAAACTGTCGGCAGGCCGTTCAGAACGCCACTGAAGCCGATGGTAAGAATCCCCAGGCGTGGCTGTCCACAGCGAATTTCCTCACCGTCAAAGCCGAAAACGAGGCAAGTAGCCTTCCCCCCAGTAACACGTCTACTATTTTAATTTCAGTAGTAATGATTTCATCTAAACTCAGAATTCCAGTAAGATGTTATTGTATGTGATATGCTTACAGCAGGCTCCACTGACCTCGACCTGTTTCTCATCGATCTCTTAGGGTGCCAAGGACGCACTGGAAAAATGCCTAGCCCTTTATTGGCCCAAAGTGGAGCGTGCTATTGCCGATCTCCAGAGCCGGGAGGATAGAGAGCTACTTGGAGAAGAAAGTAATGGCGAAGTGGCCCTCGATACATCAGAGGAAAATGTGGAGGAGGCAAACACACTAGATTTGGAAGAGGTAATTATCGAATTTTTTTCGCAGCCAATCGGAGCAGCGCATCGCTGAGTAGGGCTTATTTCTTCCTTTTTCTCTTAGATATCTGGCATTCCCTTTGAGGCGCATGTGCAGATGGCTCGAATGATGATGGAGTTGGACATGAATGAGGTATGTTAACTAAACATTTTCTTCCACGCCTTCAGCTACTTATAACACAGTTAGTAGAGTGTGTTCCAACTTTGTAGTGGGCAGCTGAGGTGCTGGAGGCCTTGCTTGAAGAAGACGATGAATATCCTGAAGTAAGTGAACAGTTGGTTAGTATTTCACCTTCACAAGCGTCCCCTATTAATCGATAATGGTGTTCACTTATCTCCCTAGATATTTTACCTCCTGACGGTTGTCGGCCAGATTCTGTGGAAGGATTCAGATCCTGAGCGTCTTAGGCATTACGCGAAAATTGCAAAACAGGTACCCTTCGCCCTCATTTTGTCTTGTTCCGCTTCAAACGTGGGTGTTTGGTGTACCAATTAATTTTTTGAAAGATAAATCTGCTACTAACGTGAAATTAGTAGCAAGTACTTCGAAAAATACGCGCCTTGGAGTAATAAAAAAATGACTTTATAGAACGAACCGCTGAACTTGCAAGGGTGTGCGCGTTGCAATTCATTAGGAAAGCATCGTGCAGCTCGTTTAATAACCTCAATCAGTTGTTGGTTTCTACTTTAATTAATTTCAGTAGTGCTTGCAACGTCCTTGCTTGCCCAGTTGTTATCGTTTATAGATGTGCACTAAAATTGGCGACTTGGATCTAGCTGAGGAAATGGCTTCTGTTCTTGAGACGCTTCCTCCCGATGGTGAGTGCGCTATTTTGTCAAAATCTCATTGCTACTTATTTGCTGTAAGTAGCCAAGCATTATTTTAATTTCTAACTACCTTCCCGCATAGATACCTTGGATGAAGACGATCTCGCCGATGACGATGACAACTACGACGTGATATCCTCGAGCGGTGATGAAGACGAAGACATGGACGTCTCATGAAAGGACTTCGCGTCACTGTAAAATTCGCATTCTTCACCCAAGTTGAACCAATCCCCGTTCAGTATTCCCAAAATTGTGGTTTTTCTTCCCGGTTCCCTGATTGTGCGTGTACAGGTCACTTGTAGCCAATCAACCTCTTGGCGCCGAATTTTTCACAGTTTAAATATTTTTCTCTGCGTGGAAATCGCCAGAGTACGAGGAGGGGATGGCGTCACGTGGTCCCTAACTACGTACTTGGAGTTTATTAAAGCTCTGCGTTTAATGCAAAAAGCATGTTATTCGTAGAAAATATCATCGTGTCGACGGAAGCTAGGCGTTGGGTAGGCGAGTAATTGCACGGCTTCTGCTGCTCGTGGGGGGGGGAGAGATGGGGATCACAGGGACTGGAGCTTGGTGTCTGCTTGTCTCTACTTCGATGCCCCCTTTTTCTTGACGTCCGCGAAACCTAAAAACAAGCAGACTGTTTTACTACTAGTGGGTAATCAGTAGTGGTGATTTTTTGACGGACTGAGATCAGATTCGGGTGATTCTATTGGGTAGCTTGCCTCAAGTGGTAATTTGCCAAGTCCCATTCCCACATTTAGCGTGTCCAAAAGACTGTATCGATGACAAACATTTCACTTGGATGTCGTGTTGGCTACGGAAGAAACGCGATCCTGCAAATCACACGATTTTAGTCAACGCCAAAATTTACTATCGGTTAATAGCCAATCAACGTGTCGCATCACGGACGTCGAAATTGATTGGTTTAAAAAACACAATCAGGTTGACAATTTGAGATTTGAATACAGAAGCCAATCATTGTATTGAATTAGCTTTATTGGTTATAAAGCGAATTTGAGTGGTTATTTGGTTCGACTTGCCAAAAAGTTGGGTGATTCGCTTGGTCGCTATTTCCGTTTCCACTAATCTTGTATGTGGTAATTGTCGATTGTGTACGACAGCCTGATCAGCTGCCTCACAACACCGCATCAAATCTTCGCAAAAACATCTACTGAAAATCAAATTAGTAGTGCTGAGAGCCCTGGACTCTGCAGAGGATTGGTAACGTAGCGGTTTCAGAGTGAACACGTGAAAGTATTTACCACAAATTGTTTTGTGACAATAAAAGTACCGCGGACAGCCGCAAAACAGTCGTGCGTGACATATTTATTGTTAAACGTTGCTGATTAGCTAACGACTTCAGCAGCGGCTTCTGTTGTGCTAAGGAGGCCTATTCTTTACAGCAGCTGTAGTTTTTAACCAACCACCAGTTAGATGATGAAAAGGACCATTGCCACTCACTTTCGTAATAGACAAGTTTGAAGTAGAACGGCTGCGGAAGGAGGTTGTTGAAGCGTTGCGCAAATTCCTCGGTTTTGGAGGCCTCGAAGTCCAGCGCCGAGGTCCAGATCTCGATCACCACGCTGGAGGGCCGAGGGGACACACCGACACCCACGATGTCGTTGTCCGCGTCCACCAATTGCGTCAGCTTCTCGCCGATCGCGCTCATCACCAACTCGCACCACAGGTAGTCGGCGTTGCCGCATTCGGTGTGTCGTAGTCGCCAGCGACCACCACCGGCGTGTTCTGGTTTCTCCCTGTTTCACATAATAAGACACATTTGTTAAACAGTTCTGAACGTCTAACGTGCTGATTAGTCAGCTCTCAGAACGTGACCTTGAGGAAGCTAGTTTCAGCCAATCAGATGCCGACTTGGTTAAGAGGCGCGAAATGCAATTTGGTGTGTGCAGTTTAGGATTTTTAGCCGCTCAAAGTCACGTGAAATCTGATAATAACATTTGGAAGCGTACCACTGAGGATCGTAGGGCTCCCGCATGAGGTAGTAGGCCTCGGTGAATTGCAATTCGCTTGGTTTCTCGGCCTTCTTGAACTCCGTCCAGAACTCTTCCACCGTGGAACACTTTCCGAGGCGCCTTATTCGATGACCTTCATGCTTGGCTTTTGCGTCGTTTGACTGCTTCTCGGGAAGTTCGTTAACTAAACAAAGCGAAGCTGACATGATCGATACGTGTTTATTCGAAAAATTGGACAAAATCCACAAACTCAAACACATTTGGCAAAAGTAGAGTCGGATACTACTAGTGTTGCATTTAAGTAGTGTCGTCTGTTGACTTTCTAGGACCAGACAAAGCCATAAAAATGAGCATAGATTCAAGTTCACGATGACGACTTAAGCGCCATCACCTGCCTTTAAAAGAACCAACCTGGAAAAATATTCAGAAATCATTCAGAAAGGCCACGAATAATGACGCAAGCTTTCAACAACCTGCCGTTTTTCCAGGATCGGAGTTTGCACCAATTTCTTGGCAAGTTCAAAGAGTCACTTAGGTGGCGCGACAAAGTCAGCTTCTTAAGCCCACAATCTAATTGTGCGCGCGCCGGAGCGGAGTAGTTAAAGAAAAACCACTAGCCAATCAGCTGCGTCCATTAGCCTCACCGGATCGCAATGCTTAATTGGCAAGACGAATTATAAATTGCCTGAGTCGGGCGATTAAAGGCTTGACTCACACCGTGCACACGAGAGCCAATCAAAAACGCGCGTGTAACCACCAATGGGGACGCAAGTGCGCACTTGTGAGCGCAGACAGGAGCGTGACTCAGCAGGAATGTTGGTGACTTTGGGTACGTGAACGCGCATTACGTCCTATGTGTTGTTTAAAAAATGACAAGATAAGCACCAGCTGGCAGGGGATTGGTCTGGCGTGAAAATTTTGACCAATAACAGTCAGACAGCCTTAGGCGCCGAATTCTATTGTTGTTTGGTCTACGCGTTCACTCAATACATGCCAATAAACAAACAAAATAGCCGCGTGGAAGACATGGTTGTGATTTGAATGACGACTTTAGCCTAAAGTACAAGTTTTTGCCGGATAACTCTTAAATCACCGAAATGCAATCCACCACAGTGTTTTTAAAGTGAATTCTTACTTCAATTTTTTATGTGGTATCAAGGAAACAATGAACTTGTCGAAAATACATCCTCAAAAACTCGAAAAACCTACTAATTTCGAGTGAAAATGTCAGCTAAGCATAATGGCACGGCAGTTGTTTGCGAATTGCGACTGAATTTATGGGTTAATTGCATCCGAAGTGGTGATTGGTCCGTCTGGCCTTTTCAGACACGCTTGGTTGGCAGTTTAGCAGCGCTTAGCCCGTATCGAAAAACTGTGTGTGATGGAGTTGATTTGGCGTTAGTGCCGTAGCTCGTGATAGTAGAATGTGTGGCTGGCGGAGGCCAATTCAATTACAACTGGAAATTCGTTAATTAAATTTAGGAAAAAAAAACAATTATAGGTTAGAGTTGGGTGTGATTTTTACCGCGTCGCACTACAAAACACCGCGAATCCAACGCCTGCTTACGTTAGCCTGATTGTCGTCAGACAGACGTAACAAGTAGTGTAAAAACGAAGAAGCGGATTTCACCATGGCCGTGGTACAGGAATTGGTCTACGTTTAGACACTGGGCGACTTTGTTGTGAGTTGTTTTGATTCAGAAAGACACCAACTTGGTTGAGCTCTGAAGTAGACGGTTGTGTCCACGTCCTCTCCGGACTTTTTCTTTATCGTGGGCAACAGGGAAGCGTAATAGGGCCAGGGTTAATTCCGTGGCCCCGGCGTGGTTCAAGACCACAAGCTGGGACCCACAAAAATTTCACTGTCGATTTTGGATAGCATGTATCGTGACAGCCATAAAGGGTCCCTGGTGAACTTAATTGCCGTATCAACAAAATGTGACCTCGATGGTTGACCTTGAGAACTTGATCGTCATTTCCTTGTAAAGGATCGGTCCTATCGACAGTGTGGCATTAATAGCAAAACGCACTCGAATTTAGACAATGACGACTGCGGCTTACCGTAAAATATCCACGTGGTGTGCAATGGATGGGTTTTCTTTGGATCCGGTGTTGCGCCCGCAGACTCGTCTGCCTCCATTTGGCGTGAGAGCCCAAACAGCGGTTGCCGTGGTGGTGACGAAAACGCACGCAAGAGAGCCACCGCCCTTGCGGTAAGTCAAAATGGCGAACTCGCCTGTACACACCGTCGAGGCATGTGATTGGTTGGTTTCTCAGCCACGCTACTGGAGCGTTTGTGGAACACACTTTGCGTGCGTGCGTGCAAATCGCATGCGCGCGCGCACACACACACACACTTGAATTCGCATCCTTGGAGTATGGAGAGGCGTTTGGTGTGTGGATCGGCATTCTGAGGCATGCAGACATGTGCACAGGCTGCTGCTCTGTGATTGGCGAGTTTTGGATAAGGGTGATTAGTGCTTTCCCAAGGTCACTTCCGCAGGGAGTTTCGACTTTCATAATTTCGTGAATTACACTACCACTTCGACACCAGTCGTTACTAAGAAGCTGATTGGTTCTCAGAAGACGTTGAATTTGATCCAATCAAAATCGACCTGGCCTCAATACTAGTATTTTAGCCCAATAATAAGACCCTTGTGATCACGTGGTTGGTAGGTTTGAAGTTGCGCGTTGTGCAGTTTGACTGTTTTGCGCGTAGCCACTTAGTGATTGGCCGCTCACAGCCAGTTATTTACGTTGTAGCTGCGAACTAGAAAGCTTCGCAATCCTGCAAAATAAGGCAGCAGTCGTTTTTGACAGAAGCAGGAATCTGATTGGTCGGCGTTAGAGCTGTCGGGAATGCTGTGAATTCGTACAAGTTGATTAGACTTATAAATAACTCCACAATTACTCATCCCTAGTTCCCAATTTGACTTCTAGCTCACATGCACAACTTTCTGTTCAATGTAATGGGCCCCTACTTGTACGAACGTTGAGTTCGGAGAATTCTTATTGGCTACTCCACCCACACGACCCAAATGGCCAGTTGGTTTGGGCTAAGCTTAAAAGCCAATCAGAAGTCAATTTGCTTGCCAAATCGACCCTTCTTTTTCGCACGCAACTCAGTTGTTAGAGCAGTTGTGCAAGAATTATCCTCTGCAGATGGATTGTGTTCCGAAATTTTCAATTTAATTGAACGAAGTTGCAGTAATTTTGAATTCAATACTACTAAGGATATTTAGGCAATATGCTGCAAAAAGTTTTCAACTAAATGAGGTTTTAATCCAAGTGTTGCAATTACGTTGTGGATGCCTAAAGAGTTTTCCTGCCTGTAATTTCAAAAAAGGAAAAAAATTCAAGCGTCTTGGTTGGTCGTCACACAAAAACTAGACTAAGCATGCTTCAATCGCGTCACCTTCTGCATGCGCAGTAAAACGCTGTCTTCCTGTTGATTTCAACGAAAAAGCAGGCCAGATTTACGGATTTTGTCATCATGGTATATCTACGTGCGCTTCTCGAAAGGCTTGGATGAGATAATCTCCATATTCCTAACTGCATCCATCGTTACCAACAGTTCTGCGGTTTCTGATGCAGACAAATTCCACGTACGTCCTTCAAGGCCTGTATTAGATGACACAGATCAAAGCCAAACCTATCTCGAAGCCGAACTACCACCAACTGTGCCAAAGCTGACACGGCAGCAATACACTGGAATTTATTCTTTCTGGTCACTCCAATTTCAAATCGATTAGTGGAATTGTCAAGCAACAACACTCAAACTTGATCTCGTTTCGCAGATCTGTAAATGCATCAAAACCTGAATGCGTTTCCTGATGGACGGCATTTCATTTTGAGGTGAAACCGCGCTAGACCGATGTCGAAAACTCCCTATACTTAAGTGTCTTCAGCGTTGCATCAGAACACTTCTCAACATCAGCAATACACCGCAATTTATTCTTCCTGGTCACTTCATCTTCAAGTCAGGCAGGGAACAAAATCAAGTCGTGGAGTGCACACATTCCAGAATCAACGTGACAGGTGGAATTCATGAGTGCTAGACACCCTGTACTAGATTAGCTTCACCTTTGCGTCGTGTTTTGCGTAAATTTAACTGGAAATTTCAGTGGCGCTCAATGGACACGCTAATGAGCAAAATTCTCGGTAGGCGTCAAACGACCGTCAAATGTGAGGGTAGAAAGCGTCTGGCTGAGTTGCTGGTCGCTCCACCTCCGACACAGTGTTCCCCTTGTCGCAGCA